TGTGGAAATAGAAAATTTTAAACTGTGCTAGTAGATCTCCTGTGATGTTTATTGGTCAAAGGATTTTCTGTTGTATAACAATTACACATTTATAGCATGAAGACACTAGCTACTGTTTTAACAGTCACATTCTGTGTATTAACATCTATTGGTGCATTTTACTTTTATCCATTCTGTTCTTAAAACGTAGAATACAGATAAAGATAGTTTATGGTGTGTGTGTGATTTACAGTTGGGTATCTAATATTTAACAGTACAGTGGAGAGAAAGTGGTGACATTTATGGGATATGCACTGAGGATTAGCATTCTTGACATTTGACAGAACTGGAATGAGGGTCCTTGAGTTTTGGCAGCATAAGGGATCCCTTATTCTAACGGCACTGACGAGGAATAACCTGAAAATCATTTTGAGTCTTTTATTTTTAAAGTAAGATGGGTTTTATCTGAATAAAGATTTTGAAATTTGTCCCTTAGCTTTATTATAAAACTAATCCGGAAATGAACTGATCAGGAGTTGCATGTTTCCATTGCACCATTCTCGGGCAGTTCAATCATAACTCGGTTCAATGTCACCAGCCTGGGCGAGCATAAGCTCAGACTTTTGGCAGTAGTTGAGAACTTCATGAACTAACTGAATGTATTAAAATACATAATGACAGATCAGTCAAATTACAAATGTAACTTTGTTGTTGTGAAAAATGCACTTAAAAACAACCTTGAAATTTTAGTCATGGCTGCATGAATCATTTTTTTTGAGGGTTACTTGATATCCAGCCCAGTTGCCTTTAAATTGACTTGGTTTGATCTTATTCTTTTTTTTATGGCATATGGGCATTGTTGGAAATGGTAGCACTTGTTGCCCATCTCTAATTGCTGTCAAATTAATGGTTTGCTGTTAAGAGTCCACCACTTTGCTGGGAATGTGGATCACATGTAGGCCAGACCACGGTCAGGATTTGTAACGTAATGAAGTAATGTACCATATTAGTGAACTAGGTGGGATTTATAAAAACCGATAGTTCCGTGATCACGGTTACTGAGTGAGACTAGCTTTATTAATTTAAATTAAATCAGTTGCTGTGATGGAATTTAAACCCACGGCTTGAGAGCATTAATCCGGGCCTTTGGATACTAATTTAGTGATATTACCATTACACCACTCTAATCATCATAACAATATGTAGGAATCTAGGTCAGATTCTGTAGTTAGAATTTTAAGTATTCAGATAAAACAAATTATAAATGTGGACTGAAGAATTCTTCCAGGAGAAAATGTTGACACAAAAAACAAGGAGAGTCTGGTAGAAGGATATTAAGCTTTGCAGACAGGTAAGTTGTTGTTACAAATTTGAGATTTTATATGATTGTTATATTTTTGGGCTGTCTCTTTTTTAATTTAGGGTAAAATGGAGTAAATGGATCGTAGGTGGCTGGTTACTGAAGAGTAAAGGTAGTCCAAGTTTGTTTTGCTTTGAAGAAAGTGCAAGTTATTCACAACCTGGAAAACGGTGAATTGATTGTGGATTTCCAAGTCCCAGAGAGTTGTTAGGAAAACTTAATTTTATAAATCATTATACTTTTAACTGCTCACTAAATTTCAGGAGCGTTCTGTTGCAAACCTAAAGGAAAGCCAATAAGCACTTCTACCTAGATAAAGGTCCATGCAATTTATGTCTTGGAGCTTCAATGGAAGAGTCCATGGCCATTGTAGAATCGGGTTGCAGGGGGCTTCTTAACAAGTGTCACTGAAATTCACCGACCGTTTCAGTCTACAAGAATCCAGAAGAGAGGGTGAGGGGTGACAAGTCTCTTTAGTTTATCACACAAGAATATTCCTATTGAAGAGAGCAAAGTTGCAAACTTTTAAGCAAAGCTGGAAAATTCACTTACCTTTGGCAAGAGGAAGGAATCAACAGGCTAACCACAACATGCAAGTCAGTATGAGGATTAGAAGTTATCTGGCTAGAAAAGGAAGGCTAAAATAATTTATAATGAATCTGAGAGAAAAGGGGTGTCTACTTAAAGGACAAATTAAGGTATAACTGCAGGAATTTTTTTTTTTGGTCGTTTTGAATGTTAACTTGGGAATTGTTTTTGTACAGTATTCATTGAAATGTTTTGAAATATTGTTTATTCAATGTTGCTTTTAGTTTTTTACAGTAAAAGTTTTAAAACATGAGAACTTAAGTAATTCCTTTAAATTAGTAACTGGGGATTTTAAGTGTTTTTTTTTTAAAAGTTATGGTCTTTGTGGGGATCATGGCATTAAAAGGTGGCAAATGTGACGACATTCTAATAGGACATCTGTTTCTGCTATCTGACGATTATCATCAAATGTATGTGATATCAGATATGTGATATCTAGTGATTTAGCACACTGTATCAAACTACTTATCAATATGCTAAATGAATAATTTGGATTGGTACTCAATCCCAAAAATATTTCTGCTTGTTTTTATTGATGATCTATTCATATTTCTATTTAATTCAAATGGGGTAAATCAGTTGTGCAAACATACTAAAATGTTTTGATTGAGATCTGTCTCTTTAGACAGTTGCATGTAATGGATGAGACGCATGTTATTAACCAAGTGAAGGAGGATGTATGTTACGTTTCTCAAGACTTCTACAAAGACATGGAAATAGCACAGTAAGTAAATGCACTTGAGTTACAACTTAAGTCAAAATACTGCTCAGTTCTACAGCTTTTCACTTCGCCTCATGGTTCTCATTGGAACTGCCTAATGAGAACTTGGCATAGACCAGCTGTTGGCACAAAACCACGAGCAAAAAAAAATTCAGCTGCTGGGTACCCAGCAATGTAAATGCATAAACATTTGTAAATGCTACATTATCAATCCTTCAGGAATGCCACTAACTAGTGTTGAAACTCTGTTCTCTGATACAGAGTCATCCCCTTCTGATGGAGAAGTGGGAGTGTCATCACTGAATATCTGCATGGGAGGTAGGATGGCGGAGATAAACTTTTAAAATACTTTAGAGAAGGCAAACAATTTAAAAGTTTTTCTTCACCGTTAAAATTAACAGGCAGAATGCTAATTATTCAAAGTTTTGGACTCGTGTGTTCATTATCTCGTATAAATGTCATGCATATTAAGAAAGTGAGAGGCCCTTATTTGTGAATTACTGTAAGCAGGTGAACTGGGTGAGACTCTTGTTGGCAAGAAGTGTCAGTTGCTTGAGTTTGATGGCTTGTAGACAGTCTCCCATGCAGGTGATCCTGGCTGGAGGAAAAAAGAAACATGTGCAAGTTCTTAACATGGAGACATTGATACCCTAATTAGGAATGTGAATACATTCCTTATGTCATTCATTAAATTAGATGAGAATATTTTATTGAATGCATCAGAAGAATAATTGGAATTTTAAAATATTTTCTAGGCTGAAAGGTAAAGCAAACACTGTTATGAGAGATTATGTGCTTCCAGACTTCAGCACAATCAAGAAGGGGTTCTGTAAGGTACGTCATCTGAATTATGACTTTCTTTAACTGTCAATACACATAGAGACTGAACTTCGACATTTCATCTCAACTTGTTTCCATCACAACATAGTTCTACTGTTCACCTGAATTATTCACTAACTGCCACTGCTCATCAATGCTACTGCAGGTAAACTAGGAAATGTAATATAATCTCTCAAGTTTAAAAAGTAAAGCAATTAGCATGTCAATGTTTTGATTGGAGTCCTGGAGACAGCATTACTCAAAGCATACAAGTTCATACAAGGTTCTGTGTGTACAGTTCCCTGTTGCTGAATAACTTCAAATTAAAGCCTCAGAGAAATTAATTTTGTCTAAATTTGTGATTTTTGCAGCTGTATGTACATCAGTGACATAAGGATGTTGCTATGTGGCAGCAGCCATTTAGTATGTAAACATTAAAGCTTAGCACTTTATTCAACAACTTCATAGTTTTTCTGATTACTTTAGCCTTGTGTTACAGACTTAATTTGGAAATTAAGGGCTGTTCATATTGACTCAATACTACTGCAACACAGGAACACTGACATTGAGAACTAGCACCCTGTCACACTGCAGATTTGACAACGCTTACGTGAATAGCTGTCTGCAACACCTTTTGGGTCTTGAGCAATCAAACTTTTTTGATATCTGAGTGATGTTTGTCTGCCATTGGAGCTACCTTCTTTTGATTAAAGTGCTTGTAATATCTTGTTCTTGTACTTGGCCTAACATCCTGATTAGTGGTTAAATTTCAGATGTTTTATCAGGAATTCGCGATGTGTTCTTGATGTTTTCTAACAAGTATAAGCTTCACCCAAGATGTTTGGAGTCTTAGTAGCTAAAGTTTCTTAGATTCTTAAATAAAGTTTTTTTAACTTTAAATTTCTCCCTGCCGCATTTATCTGTCTGACCTGGTCAGTCCAGATCCACTGTTATGTAGTTGACTGTCTTCTGCCACTCAGTTAGAGTGTCATTAGGGATGGGCAACAAATGCTGATCTTGTTGGTGCCGCTAGTATCTCAGGAAAGAATAAAAATGTTTCTCTTTTTCCGCTCCTCTGACCTTACCTCATGGTCCAGAGAATCTTTTTCTTCTGCCCATAGTCTTTATCCAATTCCGTTTTAAAAACCATTGCCTAGACGTTGCAATCTAGGAAGAGGCTTCCAATTCACCTTGCAATATGGATGCTACTTGGAGCCTTAAGGAAGTCCCAACATGTGCACGTTTGTGGTACTTCTGTGGGAAGTTTAAATGTCTGAATGGTTTACCTTGCTTAGATTACTCCATGATCAGCCAGAACCCCACAGCTGGGATTTTCATTAGTGCTTTAAAGCCTGCTGAACAGTGTAACTTTAAGTAAATTAGAGCGAGTTATAAAACACTCTGACACTTGCAGCATTACTCAGAAGCCACCCGAACTGCAGTCAGTGTGCACCCTCTTCCCAGCCAGTCCCGTGGGGTAAGGGAGGGAGGAGAATAGTGTCGGATAGAGTGAGGGTTTGGATGTTTATACAGGGGAACGAGTTGGGGAGTTGAGGTGTGGTGATTACTCTCATTGGCAGTGTGATGGAGTGTTACTGTTGTGGGGGTGGTGTAGATGGTGGTTCAAGGTGATACTGATTACTGTAGAATTACTACTGTTGTTTGGAGAGTCGGGGGGAGGGTGGGATGAGTCAAAGTGGGGATGATCATTGTTCCGTGGGTTGGTGTTATTTTTTCCTTTATTCTTTCACGGGATGAGGGTGTCGCTAGCTAGGCAGCATTAATTGCCCATCTCCAATTGCCCAGAGGGCAGTTAAGAGTAAACCACATTGCTGTGGGTCTGCAGTCACATGTAGGCCAGACCAGGTAAGGATGGCTGTTTCCTTCTCTAAAGGACATCAGTGAACCAGATGGGTTTTTCCTGACAATTGGCAATGGATTTGTGATCATCATTAGACTCTTAATTCCAGATATTTATTGAATTCAAATTCTGCAAGCCGTGATCTCTGGATTAACAGTCCAGCAACAATACCACTAGGCCATTACCTAGGGATAGGTGTTCACCTTAAACAAAGAAATGCCAGTCACTGGAGAGTGAATAATATTAGGGACGTGTAAACTTAACAGAATGCAGCCTTAACTGCCATCAAAAAAAGTGGGAGGGTGTGGTTTGATTTCTCCAAACTGCCCTGCACTGTGACAGTTCAGTCATATTTTGGGTTCATTCCTCATTTCTTAAGGAGCTGGGAGAAGAGGTACTGGTGAGAAATGTGGAGCTTGTTCTGATAACAAAAGTTAGTAGTGGGATGATAATCCAAGGGTATTTGCCACTTCTTGGAAGATGCACTCATTCTCATCATTGAATCTGCCTGCACCATGCAGTCAGTGCATTCCACATCCATGGGTTACAATTGGATCTTTCGTCACTTAGTTTAAATTGATATTCTCCGGTTGTTGGGAACATCTCCCTATCTATTTTGCCTAATAAATTCTCCGTGATTTTGAACACCTCAAAAATGCTGTAAATGACCCAAACACCTTCAATCTACCCCATCACTGAAGCTTTTCACTCCCTGAAATAATTTTATAAACTGTTCTGCGCTCTCTAGCTAAGTTGTTCATGTCCTTCCTAAAACGTAGTGTTCAGATTGAGACCCAGACTTTTATAAATGTTCATCATCATTTTCTTGTGTTAGCCAATTGCTTGACCTGCCCTGTCTCCTTCAGAATTTATGCACACATACTCTTGGGTCTGTCTATACCATAACTCTGCCATTTACTTTAAATTCCCTTTCCTTGTTGTTCCCACTAAAATATACCACTTCACACGTTGCTGCATTAAATTTCATTGGTTCCATGACTGTCTGTTCCTCAGCCTATGGCCTCCTGACATTGATCATTATCTCTCTCATAGCACACAGTACTTCCAAGTTTCATGTCAAATGCAGATTTGAAATTGTGCGCTGTACTTTGTCTAGATTAGTAATATAAATCAAAAAAAGTAGTGGATTGATTTGTAACCCCTAGGAAGCCTTCATTCACACTGAAAACCAAACATTTGCTAGTACTCTGTTGGTACTAAGAGAATGGTGTAACTTGTTTGAAATGTTTTTGTTATGGGAAACTCTTGAGCTAGGCATTGCAATTTGATCTTTTTAGGCTTGTAAATGCACATTACTTCCATGGTTACATAATAGACCTGGAATAGTGTTCACGAACAAATCAGTTTTTTTTTTTGGAGGTGCAAAGCTAAACTGTTTGATGTAAGATTATCTTTTATGATTATGCTCTGGGCAACTTCTCCAGGATACAGTGCAGACTGGTAATCAAATACAAAGCCACTGTGCAATTTGCCCATCATCAATCAGGATATTATTATGTTAAGTACTAGGTTTCCTTTAAGCCTTTGCTTACAAATCCTCCCTACAGCTGCAAAGTCCTGTTTTGGGTTGAGTTGAGAGCTAGACCATCTGCTCTGATTACCATTACTTTTACAGCTCTAGATGGGTATTCTGTTGCCTGAAGTTGAGAAGGTGGCTTTAATATATAGTTCGTTAAATGTTTGAAATTTTAGATGAGAAACTAGACAACGATATTGTTCAATCAAGATTTCTGATCTTGAAAATTCAAAATAAATAAAGCATTTTTAATTTTTCAAGCCAAAGGTTAATCAATCTTCCTACTCTATTTCCTATTCTTCTGCAATCCGTAGCCTCCAATGCACACAACTCATCCCCACTGAGTTAACTGCTAATAAATGTGTATGCGCAAGTCAGAAACGGAGATTCCTTTCATTTTCACTTCATTTTCCCCTTTTTACAGACCAGTGTCTAGTTTATTCTTGACATTAACCTACCAAATGATGTAGCTGGGTCTAACACAACTGTGTGGCAATTCTGAGATTTCAGCATTTGTCCAACACCTTTTTAGGACTGCCCTTAACTAGTAATTTAGTGCCAGAATTCATTTCTGTAAAGAGCTATCTTATATAGTGTACTTCTCTACATGCACATAAATGTTTTGAGGTTTGCTTTAATAATATTTGCTCATCCTTTCTCAAAGCTTCTACAAATTCCTTTCTACTGTTCCTTCTACTTTTCCTTCCTCTCCTGTTCGCAGTTAAGTCTCCTGCTGTATTAAGGCTTTCATTCTTATTCTACTCCTTTTAAGGAGGCATCATGTTCCCTGATATTCAAAACTAAACGGTTAGTTCGTGCCACTGACCCGAAGGATTCCTGCAGCTCCTACCTTGCCTGCCTATCTCCCACTCTCTCCCTTCCTGCAGCTTTTACAATAATAGGGTAACCACCTCACGGGATTATGTTTAAGGAAACATTCAGACTCTAGCCACTTCTGAAACTCCTAAGGTTGAAGCTTGAGCTCTAGCTTCCTGTACATATGCTTATTTAGAAAGAAAATCTTCCATCGCGATATATAAAGTTCCACTTGGAACTACATTTTTAAGATAAAGTTATGGGATATGTATGTTGCTGGCTGGGTCTATCCCTGGTGACCCTTGAGAAAATCGTGGTGAACTGCCTTCTTGAACTGCTGAAGTTCTTTTGGTGTTGGTGGGACATTGTGGGACAGTGATGTTGCTTTTGTCACTGAAGGAACGATGATATAGTTCCAAGTCAGGATGGGGAGTGGTTTGGGGGTGTGGTGTGTTGAAATTGCAGGTAGTGATATCTCCATATGTCTGCTGCCCTTGTCCTAGATGATGGTCGTGGACTTGAATGATGCTGCGTAGAGAGCATTGGTGAATTCCTGCTGTGCATCTTGTAGATGGCACACACTGCTGCTACTGAGCATTGCTGGGGAAAGGAGTGAATGTTTATGGATATGGTGCCAATCAAGTAGACTGTTTGTTTGTTTTTCCCTGGATGGTGTCAGGCTTCTTTAAGTGTTGGAGCTGCATCCATCCAGGTAAGTCAGGGATAAACATTCTATCACACTTGTAGATAGTGAATAGGCTTTGAGGAGTCAGGAGATCAGTTACTTGCTGCAGGATTCCTAACTTCTGATCTGATTTTGAACCACAATTATACATGGCTAGTTCAGTTCAGTTTCTGGTCAGTGATAACTCAGGATGTGATACTGGATCCAGGATGCACAAGATTAAAATTTATTCACTCCTCCCTGATATGAAGACACTTACTGCATTTCTTCATAGTCAACAGCATTAGCTGAATGTGGAACATTAGTTCTTGCTTTGACTGACACTTTACTTACACTTCTCCCACTTTTATCTGTTGTCTTCTTGCGTTGCTTCCTCAGTCTCACTTATCTGCATTACTTATTGCTAATTATTTAAATAACACACTTTTTAACTACAGAAAGGTGCTTGAGTTATTGCTCAGTTGCTGAACTTGTTCAAATTTCAATTTAGATGTTGACAAATAGCCTTTAATGTTCTTAGACTTCCACACAGGAGACTTTGTTTACATATGTTCCTTTATTTTAAATATGAATTTTTAATTACATCATTTTCTTTGGATTTTTTTAAAATTAAGCCTCTGGAAGAGATGGTTTTCAATGGGAAATACAAGACAAGTGAACAGATTCTGCGTCTGACTAATGAGAGATTTGCTGTTCCTGAAATTCTCTTTCATCCTTCTGACATTGGTATTCAGGAGATGGGAATACCAGAAGCAATTGTTCATTCAGTGCAAAGTTTACCTGAAGGTGAGTAGCTTCAGGAATGAAAACCATGTCTCATCTCACTTTTTGCATATATATTGCTTGAGTTCTAATCTGCATTCAGGCAGCAGTGAAACCTGCTGGGGTTTAGATAATACCTTTTAACAGCTTAATGCCTTAAGGTACTTCACGAAAGTATTATCATTCAAATTTTGACACTGAGCTGCTTAGAAGCGATTAGGAGAGGATTTGCGCAAAGAGGTAGATTTTGAGAATGTCTTAAAGGAGGATAGCGAAATGGAGATGCTTAGGGAGGGTGTTCCAGGACATAGGACTTCAGCAACAAAAGGCACAGCCAAGAATGGTGAAGCAATGAAAATCAGGGATGCTTAGAAGGCCATAATTGGAGGAGTGTAGGAATCTCCGAGTTATGAGGCTGTGGTGGAATTTGCAAAAAAAATTTAAAAATAGTTATTTTGTTGATGTGCTCATCCAACTGCATTATTATAATTTCTGTTGAATATTTCCTTTCAGCGTGTTTATATCCTATTTTTTTAAAAAAACCTGTTATTTCTCTTAAACCAGAGATGCACCCACATTTTTACAAGAACATCATTCTGACTGGTGGCAATACTCTGTTACCGGGATTTCGAGATCGTGTTTATGCTGATGTCCGATCTCTTACTCCATGTGATTACGATGTATCTGTTTTGCTACCTGAGAAGTAAGTTTTTGTCGCAGATATGCCATTTGTACTTTATTTTAAAATGCATTATTTTTGAGCCTTTAAACTATATTTTGTAAACATTTTATTCACATTTTTTCCACTGTTATAGTATGTGTTCTATATGCCCGTTATATTGAAGGGGCAATTGACTTTGTCTGCTTACACTAGTCAGTTAGGCTGAAGTATGTCCCCAGTATGGGATCCGGTTAGTCTCGTCTGAAAAATCTCACTTTCTTCCTTATTTTAAGCAGGTTTTAACAATCCAGTTAGTAGTTCTTCAGTATTGCAAAGTGTCTCCTGTGAACACTTTAAATTGTCCTACTTTTATTTTTGAATAAATAGCTGTGAATTATCACAGAATTGGGGTTATTACCTCACATTCATATTGTTTTACAGGGAGATTGAGATGATTCTGACACAAACTGAATAGCAATTAAGCCTACATTCATAAACTCTACAATACATGCGAACACAAAAATACATGAAGATGATTTCAAGGCTGTATTTATTCTGTCATATAACAAGTATGTTTGCAAGTGTTTGTATATAACAACTACACAGATTGTGTAAAAGGTCATTAGCAGAAATATCCGGTGGGATTATGAACTCTTGTTTTAGAAAATAGCTGGCAATTTTACGTTTTCAAAGTGAATACACTTCCATACCTGGTTGTTTGCCTGATTTTTGTGGCCAAACATTCTTCCATGCATTCTTCGCTTATAGTTCTCTTGCTGCCTACCTTTCTCTTTCTGATGCTCCTTTGCAGTATTGCTCTAATGACAGAGTGCCTGGAAGCAGGTACATAGCACTATTTAGCAGTAAGTGAAAAAAAGTGTTTCACCCATGGCTCCTGGAAGAACCCTCCCTCCCTACTGCAAGTGAGTGCACTGGAGGGATAGGAAAGGTTCACTAGGAGATCCCAATGAGGAAATAAGGGCACGTGTAGGTGATCTTACTTGCTACAGTCCATGTAAGCTTTGTCCCTTGACGATACTTTGTGATGTTATCGGGCAAAATTAAATGCGTTTCTAGCACTAAAATGAATTCAGCTCTTGACCTGGCAATTCTCCCTTCATACCGGTTAGAGTTGTATTTTGCCAGACTTAAAAATTTTGCTCTGAAAATGTGAGTCGCTTGTGAAATTCATGTGACATCATTAATGAAGTAGTAACACAAAAAGTTGTTCTTTCTTGCAGCCCTATCACACATTCATGGGAAGGTGGAAAACTGCTGTCTGAAAGTTCAGATTTCATGGACCTGGTTGTCACCAAAGATGACTACGATGAAAGTGGGCATTGCATCTGTGAGGAGAAATTTGATATCTGAAATTAAAAGCAATGTACATTAGAGAAATTGAGTTGTTTAAAGAAAATGATAAGGATGCTGCAGATTGCACTACTGACACTTTTGAATAGAGAAAAGGGGTGTCTTACGTAATGATGCTGCAATTACAAACTGTTTTATAATGAATCTGAATAACTGCCTTAAGAGTGATGTGTGCTCATCTGACTGAGTCATTCATTGGGCTTATCCCCAATAGTTTGTCAAAGGCAGTTCAGTTATTTATTTAGAAAACAGAGGCGCGCAGGGAGGGAAGACCTTCGATGAGAACTACCCGTGTGTATTTTGCGTGAATGAACTGTAATGCCATTCTGATACAAAGCACATTTATAATCTCAGTGCACGCTCTAAGAAGGATTTTTTTTAGCCTGTATATCTGACATTTAAAGAATTGTTGAAGTTTATTTTGTCTAACTACTCTTCCTTTTGGTCTTCTAAATACTGTATTATAGCTTCGTTTTTGAAAATGTGTGCATATTTTTTCTGTTGAAGTATTATTTAGACATTTTAATAAACAGTCTTCAAAATTAAAACAACGCTGCATTACTTATTTTGTTTTTATCCTTTTGATATTTTTAATAATAATTTGATATGTATTGTGAATATCCAATGAAACTGCTCAGATTTGTTAGGATGCATTTATAACCACAGGAACATAATCCTGTGTAAAACATTATTTATTATGTGTAATTGGTGTTCCTTGACAGCACTGTTCCTTGGGTCAATCAGAAGCTAACCATTCTTAAAAGTTCCTAAAATTAAGCGTAAACTGGCTTTTTTTCTTTACTTTTTTTAACATGTAAGTGAAATTTGTATTAGTGTCACTTGAGGTGTAATGTGCTGTATTATTTTAGTACAGTTAACTTATAATCTAGTAATGGGTAAAGCAATAGTTTAAACAAAGGGAAGTATTCAAAAGAGTAAATATTTAATGTGATACGGAGTCATCTTATACCCTTAAAGAGTAAGAGCTGTACTTGTCCCGAAAAAAAGCCGAGATTTTATTTTAATTAATTCAAGGGATGTGGTCATCGGTAGCCAGGCCTGTGTTTATTGCCCGGCCCAGAAGGTAGTTAAATGTCAAGCATATTACTGCAAGTCTGGAGTCACATGTAAATTAGACTGGGTAAGGGTGGCAGATTTCTTTCCATAAAGGATATTAGTGAACCAGATGGAGTCTTGCGCTAATAAATAATGGCTATGTAGTCATTCATTAAGTTACCTTTTTATTCCAGATTATTTTTGAATTTTTGACTGAAGTATTAACAGCCAGCAAATGAAGAAAAGGAAAGTATGCAAAAAGCAGGACGAGTTCTGGCCAATAGGAAAGACCCACAGAACAGCAAGGCAAAACAAATTATAAATGCCACTGAAAAGAATATGAAAAATTTGCAAGGGATATCATAATGATGTATATAAATATGATGTTTGTAAGATGGTATTTGATCTATATTTATAAATTTTGGATTCATTGAAGGCAGTCACATGACCTGTTCTGAAGTCTGCCTAACAGTTTGGATGGTTTGATTGTTTTACTGGGAAGGGAGGTGCAAGATGTTTATTTGTACTTGGAAGGCTGGGTTCATAGTGGAGACTGAGTCTTCCAAAGCATCGAAGAGAGGAAAACAGCCAGAGTATAAACTGTTTGTGAAATGAAAGTGTGTTGGGCTCGAGAATAACTAATCCACAATTCTGCGATATAAGGCTAATGTATTTCACTTTGCTATAGGAAAGAGTGCAGAGGATGCTATTTTTGAGATCAGTTCAAAAATTTCCCTATGAATTAATGAATATCACAGACAGCACTTCTTGTGCAGTCAGCAGAGAGACGAGGCTGCTTGAGTTTGTGAACTGCCACAATTCAGATTGAAGAGGGCGACTGTCTCTAGGCAAAGCGATCCATCCTGCAGCAATTTAAGGATTCTTGGAAATTGAACCTGGTTGCCCAGAAGGGAAGAGTCATCAGACTAGGCTTTCCAGTTGGCAGTGAATATAGGAATTTCTGAAAACTATGGGATTTGCTGGAAGTGGTCAATTGAGATTACTGCTCGGCAAAATGAAGATGTGACCAGGAACAAAAACAAAGTTTCTGGAAAAGCTCAGCAGGTCTGGCGGCATCTGTGAAGAAAAAGATCAGAGTTAATGTTTCAGGTCTGATGACCCTTCCTCTGTTCTGAGCATGGATATGTTATTTATTTCAAAATACAGATAAACCCAGAACTGGTCTTCATACAAATCTATTCATAATGCCTGTTTGCCACTGAATATTTCACCACTGGCTGAAATCACAAACCGAATGTCAAATCCTGGTCTGCATGAGTCGCATATCTATAGGGTGCTGCACTTACAGAATGATCTCTTTGGAAAGTTATACTCAATGTAGGAAAAATGCACAAAGAGCTGCCCTAAATGTGTTCTCAATGTTTCCTGGTTACAATAGTGACTATGCTACTTGATTGGCTGGAAAGTGCTTTGAGGCATCACTATCCAGGCAGCATTTATTGACCACCCCTAATTGTCCAGAGGGCAGTTAAGACATTGCTGTTGGTCTGGAGTCACAGGTATGCCAAGCCAGAAGATTTTCTTCCCTAAAGGGAATTAGTGAACCAGCTGGGTTTTTTCCCCTGACAATCAGCAATGGTTTCGTGGTTACCATTAGACTCATAATTCCAGATTATTATTGAATTTAAATTCCACCATCTGCCATGGCAGGATTTGAACCCAGGTCCCCAGAACCTTAGCTGGCTCTCTGGATTAATTGTCTGGTGATAATACCACTAAGCCATCGCCTACCATAGCTGATGGCTATGAACAGTGGCCATAAATGTAGGGTTTTCTTTTTAAAATCTTTCTCTAATTGGAACAAGTACTGAGACTGAATGATCTAGTAATAAAACAAATTAAACTGATTATTTATACACATTCCTTACTAATTAGAAAGTTAGCTCTTCAAACCACTTGTCCAAATACACTATTTAAGAAGTATATAAAGATGTGCTTATCTTGAACCTTTTTGGGAAGATTTCAGCAGCAAGGGACTAAATAGCTGACCTGACATGTCTGCGTGCTGGTGTCACAAGCATGTGAATAGAGCATTGAGACAATTTGGACTAGAAGGGTTTGAACTCTAACATATTACTCAGATTGATAAATAAGAAGGGTTAAAATTGTTTCAGAGATAGCAGGAACTGCAGCTGCTGGAGAATCTGAGATAACAAGGTGTAGAGCTGGATGAACACA